CTCTGAGATTTGTTTGTCGCTATCCAGAACTAGCGGAGGTTCATTTGATTGAACGCATACAGACGAGGTCGTTTTCGTCTAGCTCGGATCAGGACAATCGCGTTTTGGTCGTTACGGTACTCTGATATGCCCGTCACTCGGAGAATGAATATGACGAACAAGGACGTTGATGACGAACAGCGGGGATCCGACGACAACACTGGAGAATCTCGGCCAGTCCCTCTGCATAGTTTTTTTTCATGGCTCCAGGGTTAGTGGGTCTGGTCGGCTGAACGATAAGTCGAAGCTTAGTATGTCGTTAATTGAAATGAAGGAACGTCATTTTGAGAGAAAATGGAGCAGCAGATAAAAGATATCCAAAAAAGGCATAGAAGCGAACTGCTAGCGGTACGACAAGCATTGGAGACTGCAAGGCTCGCAAATAAAATGGAGGATAAGTTGTCCATCCGTTCTACCGTGATTGAGGACGAAAAACATCGCGTGATATAGTTTGATGAAAACAATCCAGCATGGGACGCTGGGGAGGCGAGTGATCCCTTTGTTCCCAGGACAGCAGGATTCGGTGAGCTAGAGAGAAAAAATAATACGACGACGTCCACATCAGGCCAAATTACTGCGAATCTAGACCTACCCAAAGTAGAGCTTCCGTCTTTTGATGGGCGGTCTACAATGTACTGGAAGTTCATTCGGCAATTTCAAATGTACTTTGCCTCCAAGACCAATGACGATGGGCAACGCTTGTTATATTTGCTTTATTACTGTAAGGGCAAGACTAGGAGCGCAACTGAAGATTTCATCACGTTGCCACCCGCGGTTGGGTACGATAGAGCATGCACGATTCTCGAAGATCTATTTGGGCGCTAACACGAGGTAGCGTGCTCATTTTAGATGGATTACTGAAGGGTCTCTACATAAATGGCGTGGACGCTGATGTATTGTCATGTTTAGCTATTCGAATGGAAAGCTGCATTATCGCCCTGGAACGAATGGGTTACACGGCTGATTTTAATTCGCTTAGCACGTTAGAACAAATAGTTGAAGAGTTGCCGTATTCTCTGTAACGTAAGTGGGTGGAGACCGTGAATCGGATTGCTTCAAACGACAGGGAGCCAAATTTTAGCGAACTGACAGAGTTCGTATCTGCAATAGCAAGAGTACTTTGATAGAGAGGTTTTGTGACCAATGCCTAATTAATCTAAATAATCTAGTTCACTCCATGATCAATTGAAGTCCCAAACACAATGAATGCATCCTCAGAAGCGAGCCGTATTGCAGTATAAAGATAAACATGTACTTTAACAAACGTATGAACTCGAATTACTTCCTTCTATCCATTCCTATCCACATGTCTCTATCCTCACCCTTCATTTATTTCATTGTATTGTATTGTATTGTGATAACTTCTGCAAGCATGAAGCCTACATTTCAGTTACAAGTACACAGTTTGAGGTAAGGGGAAAAATATATATAAAAAACAATTACAATGGAAAAGAAACGGAAATTAAATCCGAAAACTGTTAACAAAGTCTGTGAAAACCTGCTCTTTGTTAACAAGAATACATGCTAATGAAGATACTGTGGAGTTACGATAAATGTTTATTCGAAAGGGAACACAACGATATTGTGATCTTGTGGAAGGGTGGGAGTCACTTTGGACCAGGACAATCGCGTTTTGCTCGTTACATTGCAGGCTTTTTGGGTTTATTGAATTTCTATCGATGATTTATCCCACAGGCCACTCAATGTCTGCAACACCTTACGGACCTACTTCGGGGTAATCCACGTAATCTTTTGCTTATGGATGCAGCACGAGTAGCACTCCA